TGAGCAGCTTCTTAGCAAAACCAGCTCATACTGACCCTCGTTTATAAAGCAGTCTGGTGAGAAATGATTCGCGCAAACTTGAAAGCATTGACGTTGCTCGTGGGGAATATTCCCTTCGAAAACAAACTGCGTCTTCAGCGGTTCGGATTTAGGAACATTAAAATGACTGCTGTGTTCGTTATTACACCCAAGAACAGAACACCACAATCGCTTAGACGCCATTCTGCTCATAGACAGTGCTCCAGCATATCAACAATGACCGCGCCGGTCCACGCGGACTATGATTGACAGCTTACTCACGAGCGAGGGCGGGTCTGTGTTGAAACGCTGCTGTCAATCGGCAATCGTGGGAGGGGCTTCCGACCGTGTGACGTCACACGGTCGAACGGCTTGATTTGGGCAGGGGAAAACAAAAAACACTGGATGGATTTTTATCATTATATGATGGTTGTGTACAGGCACTGCCAACACACATTTCAGTACAATCAACTTGTAAAAGTGCATATACCATTATATGACCCCTTTAAGAAAAAGAGAGAACCCCTCACTGTACTTTGTCTATATTGTTGTAAAAAACGGCAGCAGTACTTGTAGACCACATTTACCCTCAAATGCACAAATTTGATATTCTAACATCCAATTATTTATTTATTTTTTACAAATAGACTGTTAATAAGCCATTTGGACCACAAAGTGCATCACTCACATGCACTGCCAAAACAACAACAAAAAAATTTTTTTTTTTAATTGACATCCTTTTTTGACAGACTTTTGACATCCCTTGATGCAAATGATGGAGCGGTTTTGTGTTGAGGTTTTTGTGTGTTTGATAGGATGTGGGAGTGTATGTGTGAGCAGAGAAGGCTCATTTCCTTTGTAATTCCCTGCATGTTTTATTAGCCTGTCAGCTGCACTGTCCTCTCTTTTTACACATTACTCCTCCTCTCACTCCTTCCTTCTTTCAATTAGTACCTCTGTTCTTCTTTATGCATTTCTCTCCTTCATTTTTGTCTCTCCCTCTCTTTCTCTGTCGCCCACACAGTTCTTTACACATAAACACATTTGTGATAACACACCTCATTCCCCCAGCAACACTTCTACCGAAGCCCACAAGGGAGAGAAAAAAGAACAAAAGAGCACTTCTGTGACTTTGTGCCCTGCTTGAACAAACTAGCTGTGGCCAAATACTCTGTCCTGCTGTGATTGTACAAGTACATGCTTAAAGTTAAAGGTAGATAAATCTCTTTAATGAATTGATGACAATTTTCATTTGTTTTAAAAATCCTGACACAATCCTAATCATTTGCTCACGTTCCGGTCATTCCAGACCTTTAAGAACTATCTTCTGTTGAACATTAAAGAAGACATTTTACAAAATGTTCAAGATGCTCTGTTCCATACAATGAAAGTGATTGGGACTGGGGACAGTAGGAGGCTGTTCTTCAGTCCCTCAGAGCCTTGTTTTCTTTTGTGTAAAATTAAACATGACTAAGGTCGATTGACTGTGAATTCACAGTGTTAAAGCTGAGGGCTATCACATTAGCTGAGGTCAGGGAAGATGTCCCCACCATGCCCGCATAGCCCTGTCAATTCGATTTCACTGGCGCACACACACTTCCTTTATCGCCGAGACACTCCGTTTGAGCTGGTGGAATTTGTCATAACTATTCAGGTGGGCTGTCAGTTTCACTCTGCATAGTTTAGTCATGAACAAAAAGCATCCATCTTCATTTCCTGATGTTGCATTTCTGTTGATTTCTTCAAGTCATTCAGTATTCTGATGGGAAATATGTCTGTCAGTCAAAGTGTAATCGACCTGATAGTGTGCTCAGAGGCTGAAGCAATGAAAGTGCATATTAAATTCATGGTTGCATGAATATCTTTTCAGTTGGAGTACTACAGAATGGTGTTTGGTTTCGGTCAATTATCTTGTTTTATTTTGCGTTTAATTTGCGTGTTAATTTTTACCTTATTTGGACATCAAGTCTAATATGGACTATTAACGTAAAAATATAAACTTGTGTAAAAGACTGTTTGCTGTGCATGTTGACGGATCCAGGAACCCAAAAAATTCTGCACCCATCCTAACAGACGTCAAGTTAAAAATCAACTCACTATAGTGGCTGGTTGATGCCGTTCTTTTGGGTCATTGCTTGGATTCAAGGAAACTAGGACAAATTAAACATTGCAGCATACACAAATATGGTTTGCCCTCGCCACAGGTAAATATTCTCAGCTGTCCCTCCCTGAGATGGCCCTGCGTTCTGCTGAATGTTTCATACTAAATTTTGCACACACAATAAACCTCAAGTGCTAAACATACAAAAATGCACAAGCTGATATTCAGTCCCAACCAAGGCGTCGGTGGTCGACCCTCATTCTAACGTGCAAAAATTCTGTCACTCCATAATATAGGCAAATCTGTTATGCAACTGTTCACAGAAAAATAACGCCATCCCTGAAAGTGATTATTTACAAATGAAAGAGCTGCAATATAATTCTACCCCTCAGAGACAATCAAACTAAACTTAAAAGATACATACTGAAGGGCAGCACATAGTTTGCGTTTAAAGAAAGCTCCAGAGATTTCCACAAAATAACAGCATATCTCGCACCCCTTGCATGTTCATTTATTAATATGTTTGCTTATCTAATATAAAATGCATTTTTCCCCCCAGGGAAAGCAGAGAGAAAAAAACAATGCAAATAATAAAATGTAAAAAAATATGTAATTGTGCAAAGGACAAAAAGCTAAATATATAAATATTTTATTAAATGACAAAAGTGCATAGCTAAATTACAACTTACACTGAAATTATGTAAATAAAAGCTAATTTAAAATTTAATAGATTCTAGATGTGTACAAATGCTTAGCAGACAAAAACCACTGCTTAGCATAAACTGCCAAAATTAGGCAGATTCTATTATAGACAAGTTGAATTACATACCATCATCCTCAAAAAATAATAAATGCGATAAATTAATGGCTACTGAAACTTGAAAATCAAACAATCAAATAACAAAGAATCATACTTATGCTGTATATTTTTAAGCTGTATTTCCTATTTAGAATGTGTCATGTTATTATTATGCTGTTTTGCACATAGCTGGACTTGGCAGTTCATGATGGTCAAGAATAACATTGATTTTTGTATTTTAAAAGGACATTTTAGTTTTGTATGATAAATTTGGTATTGACCAGTCATGTCACATTATACTGGAATAATTGGTAACGCTTCCTTTTACAGTACAGTACTTACGTGTACTTACCTAGAAAGTACTGGCTAATATAAGGTAAGTACATGGGTTAGGGGTAGGTTCAGGGTTAGTACCTAGTTATTACCCAGTAATTATAATTACTATAATAAGTACAAAGTACATGGGTGACAGGACTGTAAAAGGAAGTGTTACCGAATAATTATAGCGTTGTTACTTTTAACTACACATTTTCTTTTTGCAAATTTGCTTTCGTTAATAGAAATAAAGCTGAAATAAAATAAAGATGAAAAACTTTTTTTTAAGTTAGTTGCCAAGCCAATATTTCTAATATTTAAGTTGACGTATTAAAATGACTAAAATTAACTGAAAAAATATATACTAAATAGAAACAAAAAATAAATAAAATAATCATATATAAATAACACTACTGGAATACACTGGTTCACACGTACTGTACTAAAGAAAGTGTAAAAGTATTACATCATAAGCCCAGTTCCAATGCAGCGTAACACACAGAGCTCTAGGGCTGGTGGTTGAAAGCAGCGGCGGATGCCCTCAGGGGCTGAAATGATGCATTGCTGGAAGAGAAGCTCAAACCTCTGCTGCTAGTTATTTCCACGCTTAGCCCAGCAGAGACCAACTCGTGCTCCGCCGGCTCAGGAAATCAGGTTGAGCAGGAATATGAAAGCGATTTCATTAATTATTGCAACCTTGCATTAGTGTTGTAGTGACAAACAAAAACAAGCATGATTCATAGCACAATGCATAAACGATGCCACATTTATTGAGAACGTATTACTGCGATTTAACAATGCGGGAACAATTAAATTCACATCCATAACACGGTGCGACTCGTGAACCAAGGAAAAAAGCATGCGGAGAGTAATTATAGTGAAACGTGACATAGCAGCGGCCTTGTCCTCAAGCCCTGTTCATCGTGTCCTTCTGCTGTGTGTAGGGAACACAAATACATGCACACCCACACTCATATACACTCCTAAGCACACTAAAAATGCACAGAATGGGTTATGTATTACACAAGCAACTTTTTTCGGCAACCCAGTTCATCTACAGGTGTTGCCATGACAACCAATCATTTATCCTTCAGATCCCCGGCTCGTGCCCATGGTGAGGAATCGTCATAACGCCGCGAGACACTCCAAACAAATCACAGCTCATTCTCATACGAACACCAAGGCATTAAAACACACAAAATAAGCTTTTTTTTGTACAGGAGACATTCCTAACATATCAAAATCCAGCACATTCTTGCCATTTGACCTTTTTCCCTGCACCCACTAACACTCCTACACACAAAACACGCGACACAGCTGGGACATTACTCGTGTTACTTCTGACTAACCACTGACGCCCATGTTCGCGTTCACTATATGGGCGAATGCAAACGACATGCATATCAATACCCATTAACATACTCACACTGGGCATATTGGTCACTACGGCAACAGCTAACAGGGAGTCTTGCAGCCAAGTGAGGATAATTCTCGATTTCCAAGTGATTTTCATCCCTCTGTTCTGATGTTCTCACACTTATCTCTCAGTTAGCTCACAGTGCTGTTCTTCTGCTAAACCTGCTCCAGATGCAAGAGCTCTTTCATAGAGCGAAGCAATAAGTCATTAGAAGCAATGGCATGTCCCACATGCATTCAGGCTGCCCTAGATAGAACAGGCCTCTGTCACTTGAAGCGTGCGCTACTACAGGAGTCAGAGAGTGCACTGTGGAGGAGAAATGGAGATTAAATGAAAGCGTGAACACAGACCTGTCTTTGTTGGAGGAGTCTCCTTCTGTCCTGTGGATCCAGTGGAAGAAAGAGTGAGAGACAGACAAACATGGAGACAACAAAGAAAGTGGAATTGTCAGTAATGTTATATTGTTGAACACATACAGTAAGGAATGCATACACAACAATGGAGCAAATGCGAATTGATCTTGTGCAAGGAAATGATTTTGAATGATCACAAATATCAATGATTTTCTCAAAAGATCCACTTGAAACCTTGATTGACTACAGTTCTTTCCCATTTACAGATTCATACCAATCATGGATAGAAGGGGTGGGAAATCAAGAGTTTTGTGAAAAGGTCAAATCAAAATATATAAATATACTTGCTGTGAGAATAATATAAATGCATTATTGCATCAACGATCACCATATTTTTATCTCCACTGGATTTCTTAACCACTTTATCAATGGGAATCCAAGGCTAGAAAATTCACATTACTTGGGCTCTTAAACGGAGTCCTAAACAGACAGGTTTAGAGTGACAATCACAGCCAATCAGAACATATTTGAAGTTTACAGTTATGTGGAGCAGGACTTTGAACCAATGAGATTTCACTGTGGGCTGAGCGAATTCAATTCAATTCACATTTATTTGTATAGCGCATTTTACAATACATATCGTTTCAAAGCATCAGAAAATGCATGTTTCTACATTACAATTTAGAATGATCTGTTATCAGAGGTTATCAGAGCTACCCAGTACAACACCACAGAAACCAAGTTTTTAACCTTATAAATATGCAAATAAGAACAATTATGCAGGGCAGAGGTCTTTCCTGCTCCTGGGTAGGGAATTTAGCTCCAACCTTAATCAAACATATAAACTAGCTAATTAAGCTCTCCAGGATTGCTGTAAAAATAAAAATAAAAATAAAAACACACATGCAGGTGTGCTAAAGCAGTTGGAAATAAACGTTGCAGGACATTGGGTCTCCAGAAGCAGAGATGCAGGGGATGTGCAGTGTTTATGTTAAATGGTTAGTTCACTCAAAAAATGTAAATTCTGTCATTACTCACTCACCCTCATGTCGTTCCAAACTCGTAAGACATTTATTCATCTTCAAAACCCAAATCAAGATATTTTTTATGAAATCCGAGAGCTTTCTGACCCCCCCCCGTTATTACCACTTTCAAGGGCCAGAAAGGTAGTAAAGACATCGTTAAAATAGTCCATGTGACTACAGTGGTTCAACCTTAATGTTATGAAGCGACAAGAATATTTTTGTGCACAACCCCCCGAAGATGAATGAAGGTCTTACGGTTCGGAACGACATGAGGGCGAGTAATTAATGACGGAATTTTCATTTTTGGGTGAACTAACCCTTTAAGAATGACTCTGGGTTAACAATATTAAAAAGGTCACATGACATCTTCTGTTATGCCACTAGGTGGACTGACAAACCACTGCTTTTAGTCTATAAAACTAACTATAAAATAAGAGTATAATTAATTACTACTTTGATTAGGAGAAAAACTCATTAAAAAAAACTATCCCACAAAGCAGCAGGTGTCAGGTTTGACTGCCCCAAAAGCTTCTCCACAGACATTCAATTACATCATAATTTTATAAACTCTATCAGTCAGTCCTCCAACATTACTCACAGACTCACATCTAGGACAGTAATTGCCACCTTCAATAGACAAATGTAATTAACACCGACCATGCTAATTATTCTGAGAAACAATCCCACCTCAACAGCTCACCCACAGCAGTAGTTACACTTGTTCATTAGCCGAAAGCATTACACCAGAGAAAGAGAAAGATTGTGATCACCCAAGTTGGGTGATTTGGATCAGCTGACGGGAGAAGGGCGAGAAAAAAGGGACAAGAAACACGGATGTAAACCGAAATAGAGCTCACATTAAAAGACGATGCTGTAAACGACCCTTGTGGGTGAAAAGAGAAAAGGCGACCCTAAAGAAAATGGCAAATGGCATGCTGGTGTGCCATCTGCTCAACACCAAGGGAGGGCTGGTGAGGGTGTGAACAAGAGATTGGGAAATTTCGCAATAAAGTAAAAGAAAAATGGATGGATATATGCCGTTCATTCAAAATCAGTCAAATGATGGCCAACTGTCATTAAAGTCTGTAAAACGCTAAATCTATCAGTAAAGCAAGCCATCTGCACTCATATGTCATGTGACTTTCCATTGTTTCAGGTAAATATGATGCAAAGCTAAAGCTAGCAGCACTAAAGCCGCTCAGGTGTAAAGTAAACACATTGCCACATCGACCAGATGCTGTTTACGAGACGGCTAGTGAGTTCATGCATTTATCATGCGAATCATCTGATGACACAGGAGATGACACCAAGGCAGAAGAGTTAAATCTACTTTTATCTTCATTTTATTTATTTTTTCAATTAAAAAAAAAAGCTATGGAAGCTGATAGTTTCTAAATGCGTTTATCTAATATTTTTCACAAGACAAGCTTTTTCCTGCCTTCAAAGACTTACTTGACAAGAAAAGATCAAGTGTTTGAATCAGAATGAGACTCAGAGTGACACTGAATCTCATGAATGAACTAAAGTAATTGTGAACAAACTGAGCGACGAGGTGTTGGTCATAATTATGAGATGACAAGCACATGAAGCTTTGTGACGTGCAGCTTATATTTATTAAGCAGTAAAAATGCCCCTTCCCGCACCCAAAACAAGGCGTCTGTGGATGAGAGTCAGAAGCAAGGACTGTCCTGCATCACTTCACAGATACAGTGATGAGGAGTGGAGGGAGAATTTTAGACTGACACAACAGTCACACTACTATATTCAAAAACAACAACAGCTTGTTCCGTGTCATACGTCATTACGCCATTTCTACGCCATTGCACATGTGCAGAACTTTCCAGTGTCGGTTTCAATCCAATCAAGTGTTTATACGTCCTATCAAACTGATTAGAAAAGGTGTAAACCACCCCTTTCAGATTTGGCCAATTGACATGTGACTTTTTATTCCGACTGTACTACTAGTCCGATTCCAAGCGGATTATTAGCGTCCATGTAAACGCAGCAAGTGAAACTCCTAATATTAATTATAAATAACGTTAACGTTCTATTAAAACGAGACATTTATTATTTATCGCAAACAATATACTAAAGATTATTTACAGTTCGTCACATAGAAGGTTTTCGCAGATTTAGTCTCACCAAATAGTGACTAAAATCAGTGAACACATTTTTTTTTTGGTGAACAGAAGTAAAAGATTAGTCACTAGTACAGTATGAATAAAAATCGCCACCCCTAACAAATACTACAGTTTAAGCATGATTACTATGCAAGAAGAAATGAAGTACACTATCTGCCCTCAAGGAAGAAATAAATAAGTCTCAGATGATAAGGAAAGGACTCAATTTATCAGAGGGCATTCAGGTTTCTCTCCATTGGAATCAGGGCAAGAGAAACAAATAGCCTATAAGAGGTGTATTGGACAAACAAAACCTTGAAAGTGAGCAACACAAAGGGTGCAGTGAATTCTGCAGCCTATTTCTCTCTCTTTCTGACTCTATGCTACTCTCTCCCACACAAGTTGATCCACAATCTGACTGCACTGAATTTTAATCACAACCTCTCCTACACAGTGGCCCGATCATACATACAAAACGAATCTCCACACACCACACCAGCCTTAAAAACTACAGGAGATGCTGTACTGCAGTGCTCGACACTGATCCAATCCACTAACGTTAATCTGCACACTCTCAAGCACGAATCTGTATGCATCGCATGCTGTGACGAGGCCGGCTCAAGTGCACACTACAGTGATCAGAGGTGCAATGGAGAGGTCGATTCCTCAGCAATGCAGGGATGGAGACAAACAACCCAACTGTCAGCAGCACAAGGAGTGGCCGACTACACTTCTGTACCATCTCTCTCTGGATTTATATGGAGTCAATTGACACAGCAAATGCTGGGAATGATATTGACAGTCTCCAGGCTACTGACAGCTTTGCTCAATGTGGAAATCTGTTCAGGGACCATCCAACACTTAAAAAAAAAAAAAAAAAAAAAAAAAACTGTATTTTAAAGCTGCAGTCGGCAAGTCTGGCAGATTGAGTGGACTTATGCAAAATTTTGAATGTTTACAACTCTCATGGCCCTCCCCCACTATCAACGAATACCCTCCCACCGAGTTCATGCTCGTCAGTGCGTGTGCACCAGATTTTCAGTGAACGCGCCCGTCTCATCAGCATCCATCAACACCATGGATTATTTGGAAGTATGCTGCCCTGGCTAATCTACCGATAGATTGCAAATGCTAACGTCATTTATACTCTCAATGAGCTTACTTGATTTTCCGCCATCACTCTTCGTTACTGCGCGAACTTCCGCAAACTTCAGGCGTGTGCATGTGATTGTAACGTGCGCAAGGGGTGGCGTGTGCCCGATCTGTGATTGACAGTCAGATCTCACACCCCCCTGCGCTGATTGGACCCGATGATCCGATGTGGATTTTTGCAAAACAAATAACACGCTCCAGGTGGAGTTAGAAGCTCGGGTTTTTTCTAAAAACACTTTATTTATGTTGTTCTGTCGGATTATAGTGTCGATTTCACTGAATATGATTAAAAAAGATAGCAACAGCATCAGTTTAAAGGGACAGCCAAAAAATGTATTTCATCCCAAACCAATAGGGTTGTTCACCATTCGCAAATGATTTTAGATTACTTTTTAAATAGCTAAAATCTTTGTTTATAGTAAAATACAGCTAAACTTCCTGGAACCTCCTTATTCTCCAGAAATCATGCCGACATGGTCCAATATGTTTCAATATCAAAAAAGTTATGACATTTGTTTGAGATTTAGAATGCTAATTCAATCTCAGGATCCCATGACATTAGCCTGTCACTCTGCCAATGGCCCAGCAGCACAAGTCTGTCCAGATAAGAGTCTGCTGGCTTATGTAATGTTCAGGCTCGATGGCACAGCCAGCTGCCTGTCCGATGGCCTGGAAACAGTTCTATTGTGACAAACTGTTGCACTCAATTTCAGTTTTGAAAGACAGGCAGGGTGCAAACAGGAGAAATACCCTCTGAAAGGTGCTTTCTTAGTTCTGCACCAACATTACTAGTGTAATCTACAGGAAATGCTGCTAAAATACTAGTGCAAGATGTAAAACATAGCGTACAAACATTCATAAGCATGTGTAGTTCAAATCTTCATCCAGTGTCAGTAAATATTACAGTCCACGCAGCAGTTTCCCTGTACTTGCTTTAAAGGATAGTTCAATCAAAAATTCAGTCATCATTTACACACTCATTATGTTCCAAACCTTTATGACTGCCTTTTTTTCTGCATGACACAAAAGATGATATTTTGAAGAATGTTTCAACTACATTCAAAGTCAATGGGGTCCATTTTCAAACATCATTCTTTGTGTCACACAAATGCTTGTATAGCATGAAAGTTGTACAGGTTTTGAATGACATGAGGGTGTGTCATATTTAGTAATATTATCGGTTTGACTACACTGACACTGTCGGATGAGAACCAAACTTGAAGTGAATTGAGCTGGACAGATGAGGAGGCTGTTATCTTCTGTAAAGCTGCTTTAAAACTGAATAAAAGTTGTTTCATTATTGATGAATTTTGCAACAGAGACAAGACTGTCATTGTACTGAATTGCATCAACACTGAGCTGAATAATTACACTATTGTCTTCTGTAGAGCTGCTTATAACTAAATTAAACCCATATCATACCAGTTTCATAGTTGATTAACTTTACAGTTATTGAACTGAACCAACACTGAACTGACTTGAGCTAAAAAATTACACTATTGTCTTTTTAGATATGCTTTATAGTAGAACTTGAAGTTTGCATCATTGATAGTTATTTTCCAGTTTATTACTGTGATGCTGCTTTGAAACAATCTGTATTGCATAAAGAGCTAGATAACTTGACAATGACAGAATGCATTTCATTTTGAGTGAACTATTCCTTTAAATATATTGATTATTAACTGTAGTCTATTTACAGTAGTTAACACTCGCACAACCAACATCTTAAACTGTTTTTGCATGCAAACACACGCTCTCTTGATTGACAGTTTTCCAAACAGCCAGCATGGAGGCTGTGGAGACTGTAATCTACAGTAGATCCTCAGCTATGCAGTAAAAGAGCCCTCAGGCCTGTACTTACTGTCTCTGCAGAGAGCTTCCCAAACTGGTAGCAGCGCCGTCTCGTTCTCGTCCCCTGTCTCGGTCCCTTTCTCTCTCCGTGGAATTGGGTCCAGCTGACAGGCTTTGGCCGAGCCTTGTGTGCGTGTTGGCATTGACACGGCGATCCCGTGGTGGCACTGGTGGAGGTGGGGGCGGGGGCGCCGGAGCCGGGATGGGTATTGGGATGGGCCCGCTGTTGAGGCTCAGATTGGCGTACACAGCGGTGGAGGATGCAGCGTGGGACTTTGGTGGCAGGACAGGGTGGATGGGAGGTGGAGGTGGGGGTGGGCAGGGCTGTCGGTCCAGTCTCAGGTCTTTGTTCTCCTGGCTGAGTCGGTCCAGCTGAACTTCCAGTTCCTCGATGCGCCGCCGTTGAGTTTCCAGAAGTTTCTGTTGGCTCTCGATGATGTTATTGAGCTCCAGCAGGTACTCCACTGCCCGGTTAGGGCTCTCTGGGCTGCCCTGGCCAGCATCCATGCTGACAGTCACCGTCTGCCGGGACAAGCTTCTGGGATCACCCTGTAGGTGGAAGCTCTCCCCCCCACGTGGAGTGGGTGGGGGGGAGAGACGGAAATGTGTTGGAGTTAGAGTTGGGTAACCAGGGTCAAATAGTCAGTGGTTTTAATCTGAGATTCCCTCAAAGTTAGATTCAGCTTCGGAAGTCACAGTACTGAAAAGTGATTAGGGAAATCCATATTGAGAATTTGTATTCACATATAAGGGATGATGATGATGATGATTTGTTCACTTGTTTACGGTGGGTGCGAGTATGTGTTTGTGTAAGTGTGCATTGCTATTCTTCTGTGTCATTTTTCCACTGCCACCAAGGAATCATGGAATTGAGATCAAAGCCGGTTTGTGGAAATTTATTTCATCAGTCATTCAACTAGATTAACTCTCAATAGGTAATAAAAATGAGAAAAAAATAATAATTCAGCAGTCACAGGACATTCCCAGCACCTCAAGTCCAAGGTAAGGATGCACCGCAAAAAGCCAAGTCAGCAAATATCCATTAAACAGGAAGGAAAGCCGATTTCCTTTTCGTCCATTTCTCTGATGCACGTCCTCTTCCGTTTCTCTTTGAAATGTGGAGTTGAAGCACTGCAGCTGTTTTCTGGCTGTGTATTCATGACTCATATTCCAGTCCGATGTGTTTGGGAGACATTTTCGTCAGGAGTCATTCTATTCCAGAGGCGATCGAGATAGAAAGGTGTAGAGAGAGAGAGAGAGACAGAGAGAGAGAGAGAAACAGAGAGAGAGAGAGAGAGAGAGAGAGAGAGAGAGAGAGAGAGAGAGAGAGAGAGAGAGAGAGAGAGAGAGAGAGAGAGAGAGAGAGAGAGAGAGAGAGAGAGAGAGAGAGAGAGAGAGAGAGAGAGAGAGAGAGAGAGAGAGAGAGAGAGAGAGAGAGAGAGAGAGAGACTAAAGTTCTTCTGATAAATCCACTGCAATACTAAATTGGCTTCTGGGAGGTGTGCGCATGTCTTTCAGAACAAACCAATTCCCCCTTCTCTCTTCTTTGCACCCTCATTACAATAGCAAGATCTCTTCATTCAAGCCATTAATATTGCTTATCATTATACATTTAAAGACATCACCTGGATTTCCCACGCATGATGTATTTCAACTCATTGCAAAGTCAGTTCAACAAAATATTTCGTTATTTCATAACACATACTATTTCTTTGCACCCTTATTCCATTATTCTTGAACCCAAATCTCTCTTCAGTGTAAATCACATCTATCATTAATGTTTCATGTACGCATTTGTCGTTTACTCACGAGCGGTTTCACACTTATTGCCCAGACAGTCCTTGAAGACAATCGCGTCTCCAACGCGTACAGATGCGCGATAATCAGACGATATGTAGAATGCGTCCCAAAACGATGATGTCAAATTCGTTTCAATCTCCAAATTCGACGTTCCAAAGCAAGAAATCTGTTGTGACTTTAAACCGAGCAGATGTTTCTTGATATTTTGTCGTTGTAAGTCCCAACGCGGTCCTCGCGATCAACTGAAACAAAATCGAGAAGAAATACTATCCTTGCAGCAGGATGTCCACTGCCTGTCGAGTTTTATCGTTTAGTATGAGCAGCGCAAAGGCGCTCAGGTCCCGAAACAGCTGAGACGCGCAATAAAGCGTCCGCGTGCTCGTCCACACAGTGTCAAGCTAATGCGCGCGAGATCATTAAATAACACCCATGCTGATGGAGCACAGCTGTCAATTTATGAAGACTGCGTTGCATGACAACTAATTAAATGCCAAAAACGGTTGTGTCTCCCTGAATGTGACATAATGTCAAGCCTAATTGATGCCACTGACTAAGGATATTCGCTAATGAATTAACTGATCACATGTTGAACAGACGTGCGTTCCTTCCTGATGCTCCCTGAACAGCCCTGCACCTGCCGCCCCTCGCCGCCATTCGGTTTCACCGCAGTGTCCACATGTGTCTCGATCGCTAGTTTCGCAGCATGTCGATGATGCTCCGCGCCTTTCGCCGTGTAAACGGATGATGCAGGGGTTAAAATCATTTGAGTGAGTCAGAGAGAATATATGTTTCTTTTCAATCGAGGCTCTGACGTTGGTCCGAGCGTGTAACGCTAGAGGAACATGCCGGGGAAACTGTGTCCCCGTGGTCGGCCATTTTGGAACGCGGTAACATTTAGTTCGACGGGAGAGTGGCTCCTTGAGATGAGCCAAAATGAGTGCAGTTTCTCGCGCGCTCTTGCTCTCCCTCTCTCTCCTATACACCTCACTACTCAAACCGAAGGCTGTGTGGTGCAGAAAAAGCAAGCATAGATTTACACATGGGGACAATTTTTCTCATTCATTCAGTGCTGCCCAAATTTAAATTTCAGTCAGCAACAGGTAGCTACGACTTTAATGTAAAACCAGGCTTTGCCCAGCTGATTTTAAAATGATGGCAGTGCCCATGAATATTGTCTTTAATGTTTTAATTTCTACAGCAGCAAAAACCACGGACAAGTAGCTTTTGGCTTTTACAGCAGTTTTAGGACGTTTCATGTGCTGAATCACTCTCGTGCTCTCACTCCTTTCAGCAACCCACATTAAAACCATCCATTTTTTTCTTACTTCCACCCACACGTCCTGCCTTCTCTTTCTCTCTCTCTGTGCCTTAGTCACAGCTGAACTGCGTGTGAGTGAAAGGGATGTGCTAAGCAGCACATGCAGGAAAAGGACAGACCACTAGTATGTTGTGGTTTACTTTATCATTAGAGCTTAATTTATCTATTTAATAGCAGTAGGAATGCAGTGATGCCACGTTCAGGGTAGAATTATGCTTCTATCAACAGTTTTGCAATAGAATCTACTGATACGATGCAGCACGCCATGCATACGCTTGTGCTAGCTGTGTTATATAGAGCATCTCAATCAGCTCCCTCAGTAGTCAGTGTACTATCAAGGGAGGCAGTCATTTCAAGGTCTGTTTCATTGTCCAAGCCATGCCAGTGACAAATTCCCACAATGCAATACAAAACTATCCATGCCATTCTGCATCAACGGCTAATCAGCTCACTGCATAATGCTCTTCTTAAAGTTCATGAAATGTGTGAGTCTGCATTCTACATGGGCGAATTGGGCACGCTTTGCTCATATAGAGCATACTGATATCCACTGTGTTTATGTAAGAGGTGCATGCGGAGGAGAAAAGAGTTGCAGAGGAAAAAAGAAAAGGAAAAAAAAATTGAGGGATGGAGAATCCATTTAATTTCTTACTCTCCCACACAGAAGCCTTAATTATTCAGCTGCATAATTCTCTGTATTTTAATGCATCTTCATTGTAAAGGCTATCTATCTATCTATCTATCTATCTATCTATCTATCTATCTATCTATCATCTATCTATCTATCTATCTATCTATCTATCTATCTATCTATCTATCTATCTATCTATCTATCTATCTATCTATCTATCTATCTATCTATCTATCTATCTATCTATCTATCTATCTATCTATCTATCTATCTATCTATCTATCTATCTGGTGGGCACTATACCGAACGTGACTACCGGTATTATGTTGTACCATGATATGGATTTTGCGATACCAAGAATACGTTAGATATTTATAAATTCAAATTGGGCAGTTATATTGTTTTGTTCAATTTGGTACTCTTTACAACTTTTAACACTACTAATGACAATACAAAATCGAGGCTGAACTGAACGTTTAACCTCTGTGTCCAACTCGCGTGATGCACAGGCATTAATAATCAAACACAGAGAGACCAGTGTGGTAAAAGTCCAGTGTTTCCCACACAGACTAAAGCCCCGTTCACACTACAAGCGACACGATACCATTCATTTCAATGGGGAGCGGGCGAGTTCCGGTGTGGTGAAGAGATGAGTCCCACTATAGAGATGGGTCCTAGCTTAGGACCCAAGCAATCCGATTGGTTCAAAGCACCTTTTATGGGTAATCGCTTTAGTGCCTGGTTACAAATCAGAGAAAACCACTTTATTATAGAAGACGTTTTAACTACGTTATATAGAGTCATCAATGTCTTTTAACTTATATGTTTAAAGTTCTCGACTGGAAAACTCTTAAAACTACATTTCGTGACACAATAAAAGTAGTATTTTTAAATTTCGCGGCCTTTCTCCTCTGCTATTGACGCAGCCTACTATGAAAAGCGCTATACAAATAAATGTATTACTTGATGGCAACAAACTGCTTTTATCTTTTATTTTTTATCTTATCTTGCACATAGCAGCAGGATTTAGCATTCAAGCTACACATAACACCAAAACAGCTCACATTAGCTACAAGTTATCGCAAGAACAGATTTAGATCAGGCATACTACTGGCATACTAATGGGGTCCTAAGCTGGGACCCATCTCTTCAGTGGGACTAATCTCTTCACCCAAGGGGGTAATCCACCAGCCGAAAACTGAAGGCCCCCCCCGGGGGCCGCCATTAGCTAACAAGCCTTCACCAGCTGTTAGCATTCCATTGACTCCTATTCATTTTGGCGTCACTTTGACAGCGAATAACTTTACATCTGAGGCGTTTAAAGATTCCATTTGTCCATTGTTTATTTCTAAAGAAACACGACAATGTATAAAAGGCTCCATTACCATACGTTATGGCCCCATAGAAGCAGTTTTTGTAAAAATAGGCTAACGATTGCGTCATAACACGCGACTCTCTGTCGCACAGTAGAGAAATTACCGTGTAGACAGAAGTAGAAGCTCGCGCACAATCGGGGGGACGTGGAGGCATAAAGTCAAGGGAGAAGCCCATATAGAGTCATAAAGTTGATCCTGCTGCTAGCTCATGGACAGCTCCTACTCACGCTCTCCGGCTCTGCAAGATTCGGAAGGGAATGATTCAGATTCCTCTTAGCACAGCTACTAGAAGACTTACAACTGTGAGACATGTTTCTTACATCACATCTACGTCGTCAAGCATGCGCAGTGCGCTCAGCCATCAGGAAGTGAGTGCTTCTAATTAACTTTACTTTTCTCCATTGAAGTCTATGGGGTCGCTGTGTCCATTTCTTTTACTGTCTATGTCTTCACCACACCGGCGACTGGTGAAGCGACAAAGTTGAGATCTGTTTAACTTTATACAAATGAAGAGCGACTTTCGGGAGCGACAACCAATATGAGTGAAGTCAGTGGAGTTGACTCTTCAGTGCTGAGTCTGACCGAGGCAAGTTGAACGAGAAGCTCATTTTAGCAGTCAGAAACTGTCCTATAATTTATGATATATCTCCGTGTACATACAGTGGTATTCGCCGTACTGACTCCGTGCCTGAATGGTTTCGGGAACCCAGATAGACCAGTATTTGCCCGTTTGCTGCAGTTAAATAGCCGCGATGGCAAAGT